TCCTACTAGGAATCGAGCCCGCCACCCGGGCATGTGCCCTGACCGAGAATCGAACCCCTATCCCCTGGATCCTGGGTCGATGCTCAACTGCTGAGCCACGCCCGGCCAGGCTTAATTGGATTTTTGATTTTTGGTAAGAAAGTCTCATAGGTTCGGTAAGCTTCATCTTGCATTGCATCTGGCTCTCCACATTTGCCCTTGAATTGATCTTTCTATTCAAGCTTATCATATATATATATATATATATATACACACACACACACACACACACACACACATATACATATATATATATACACACACACACACATACATATATATATATATATGTTATGTGTTTCTTGGTTTCAGAGAGAGGAAGGGAGAGGCATAGAGAGAGACAGAAACATCAACGATGAGAGTCATTGATTGGCTGCCTCCTGCAGTCCCGCAACCCAGGCATGTGCCCTGACCTGGAATTGAACCTTGATCTCCTGGATCATAGGTCGATGCCAACTGCTTAGCCACACCGGCAGTGCAAAAAATGTCACCAAGTTTATCTTTAGCCTTACAGTCAGAAAGTAACCTGTGTACTGTTACCTTGGATGAGTCCCATTGTCCCAGTTTCCCACCATTCATATACCTACTGATTTCAACCAAATACTAATTTTTCCTCAATCAGAAGTTTCAACTATCATATATTGAATTGTTTTCCTAATTTCCTTTTCAGATTGTTCATTGATAGGGTTTAGCAACAATTGATTTTTGTGTGTTGACTTTGTATCCTGCTACTTTGCTGAATTTGTTTATTATTTCTTTTTCTTAAAAAGATTTTTTTTAATCCTCACTTGAGGATATTTTTTCCATTGCTTTTCAGAGAGCAAGTGGAAGGGAGAGAGAGAAAGAGAAACATCGATTGGTTGCCTCCCGCATGCACCCCTACTGGGGTGGGGATCCAGCCTGCAACCAAGGTGGCCCTTGGCTGTCATCGAACTCAGGACCCTTCAGTCCACAGGCCGATGCTCTAACCACGGAGCAAACCAGCTAGGGCAATTTGTTTATTATTTCTAACAGATCGTGTCAGTGTGTATGTAGTCTTTCAGATTTTCTACACATAAGATTGTATTATCTGAGACCAGAGTTTTACTTTTTTCAATTTGGATGCCTTTTATTTCTTTTCTTGCTTACTTGCTCTGGTTGGAACTGCCAGTACCATGTCGAATAGAAGTTATGAAAGTGGGCATCCTTTTCTTGTTCCTGACCTTGGAGAAAAGGCTGTCAGTCTTCCACTAGAGTTAGCAGTGGGTTTTTCATGAATGCCCTTTATTGTGTTGGAAGTTTCTATTTCTAGTTTTTGAGTGTTTTTAAATGAGAGAGTGTTGAATTATTTCAAATGCCTTTTCTGCATCAATTGAGATGATGATTTCCCCCCCATTATTTTACTTATGTAGTACATTACATTGATTGATTTTCATATGTTGAATCACCCTTGCATTTCTGGGATAAATTCCACTTGGTCATGTTGTATAATCCACTAATATGCTGATGGATTTGATTTGCTAGTTTTTTGTTAAGGACTTTTGCATCTATATTCATAAAAGACTTATCTATTGTTTTATTGGGAAGGATTGCATTAGATGTGTGGCTTAATTTATTTTATTTTTATATATTTTAAAATTGAATTTATTGGGGTGACATTGATTAATAAAATTATAAGTTTCAGTCATACAATTCTAAAATACATCACCTGTATGTTGTGTTGTGTGTTTACCACCCCAAGTTGGTTTGTTGTTTTCTTTACTTGTGATGTTTTGTCGGGCTTCTGTATCAGAGAAATGCTGGGCTCATAGAATGAGTTAGGAAGTATTTTCTAATTTGAAAACCATTGATGTTCTTCTTTAACTATTTAGTAGTATAAACATCTAAAGTGTGCACCTTAATGAATTATCACAAAGTAAGGACTTGTGAGATGTTGCCATACCACAGAAGCCCCTCCAATGCCCTCCCCCCCCCACTATAACTCAGCCTATTGTCGGAGCATAACTTCCTTGAATTCATTTACTTCTGCTCTATGATTCTGTAATTGGTATAAAAGCTGCAGTTGCTTTCTTAAGTTCTGCTTTCTTTTTCTTTGATTTGTGGCAGCATTTTTCTGATGAATTTTATTTTTCTTTTGAGAAATTCCTTCCTTCCTTCCTTCCTTCCTTCCTTCCTTCCTTCCTTCCTT